TGGAGTTAGTCTGTATAATCATCAGATATACTTCCCAGGCATAATCTCAATGAAAGCAATATTCTCTATGATACAGATCTCATCAACTCACATTAACACCTATTTACCATATGACAGGTGTGCCAAGCAGAGGGGGATATAAAAGTGACAATGGCACATGAACCTTGTCCCCAAGGGCACACTAATGGAAGAGACAGACCAGAAAAGAAATAAATGTGTATGATGCAGGAAGAGTGAAATAAAAACAAACATAAACTACAGCATTAGCCCAGAGCAGGCTATGATGACCTTTGGAAGAACTGAGCTCTTAATGCTAAGAAACAGGTACATAACTAACTATAAGGCCAGTTAAACCATGATGCTAAGGCCATCTTGCATTTTCAGAATGCAGCCATACCCCAAACAGGGTCCTGTAACTGTCACACTTAGAAAAAGTTGAAACCAGACGGAGCCTATCAGATCTTACAAGTGTGATGCTGTATTTTATTTTACAGAGGGGGAGATGGGACTCTAGGAGACTAAAGAGGTTCAGTGAATAACTACCCAAGATCACACAGCAAGTTATAAGCAGAGACAATCTTACAACTTGTCTCAGCCTCTTGGTTTCCATATCACTTCATTCATTTAACATGTATGGATTCTGTGCTAGGAACAAGGGAACACAGCAGCTGGGTCTGGGTCTGTGCCTTCTAGTCTGTGCCTCCCAGAAGCCGCCAGTGCGATGGGGAAGCCTCTTCTTGTATCTAAAACAGGAAGTGCTTTAAGAGAAGACGAGAGCTTGTCTAAGATTGAGGAATTGGGGAGGGCTCTAGGAGAAGTGACATTTAAGCTGAGCCTCAGAGGACAAGCAGGAATGAACAAGAAAGGAAGAACTGGGGGGCGGGGAAGAGAGATGGGTGGGATTCCGTCAGAGGCAGGAAGTTGCTGATGGAGGTCCGGGAACTGGAGGAAAACAAGTGTGGTCAGGCAGAGAGAAGCACGAGAGATGCGGAGGGACAGGGAAGTGGAGAAACCCTAACTCTGTGACCAAACTGAGGGCAGCCACCAGGATGCCAAGTGGCAATCACTCAGTCTGCTGAGTGTCTCTGGGAGGAATGGAAACTTAGAGCAGAGGAGGAAGTCAACAGTGCAGTCCCAGAATCTGTTGTCATTGACATCATACATGGGGACAGCCTGACCTTGCACGACCCCCTGATAATCTGCAGGTTTAGACAGTGCCTGTGATGAGCCCTAAAGGCCCAAGCTCTTCCCTAAAGAAAACCTCACTCCCCCCCAGGCCACAAAAGTCAGTCCACCCTGCTCAAGAAGTCATAGACTAGATGAGAAATCCCTCTCAGGAGGCTAGGTAACTTTAAAACATACTCCAGGGAAACGGACTTCATTCAGAATTGAGCTCTGGACGCCAACAACAGAACCACCTCCATACTGGCCAAGACGGAAGGACGTCCTCGGTACCAAGACCTCTGAGACTAGGCCCTGGGGTGGATCAGGGGCTCGGAGGTGAGAAGCAGGTCGGGGGATAGGAAAGATGTGGGCACCTCGAGCTGCCAGCTATCGATCCCCCCAGGGAATAATTCCCGAGCCAGCCTGGTGTCCCATCATTGCCCAGTTTTTCTTCCAAGCACCTCAAAGATCACCACTTCCAGTCAGTTTGACCACGACAGAAGCAATCCCATGGCTTTTTCCTACTGGGTTGTCGGAAAAGTCAAGATGTATTTTTTTCTATGTTTTTCGTCACAAAAACGCGTCATGACTTTTCCGACAACCCAATAGTATGCCCGGGTCCCTGAATGAGAGCCGTTTTCAATGCTTCC